ACACAGCCATAGAAGCATCCTCCCCTCAAAACAAATGTAAAACATGTGGGATGGGCTGGGGGTTGAAAATATATATTCCGTAATAAGCTTAGTGATATGCCTAGCACACAGTCATTAGACTGTTAGCTCCATTTTACAGATAAAAAAAACTGAGGCTGAGATTTTCATAGGGTTGCACTGCTAATAAGGAATGAAGCCCAGATTCATGCCAACATCTTTTGATTCCAAATCCCATGTGATTTCCATAGTGTCTTTTGTCACTCAGGGACACTGAACTAGGGCCCTCCTGGAGACAGTGGCTAGACCCAGAGGAACCGTTGATGCTGGGAGCAGGTGCTCAGGTGGGTCAGTCTGACACCCTCAACTCATGCTATGAGGTGACTGTCTACAGGCAGAGCAGACCCCAAAGCCCTCTAAACACTGAGCACCCCTGCGTATGTCCCTCCATCCTCTTTTGCTTCCCTTGAAGGAGCTCATGATTTTTGAGCTGGCCTAGACTACAAGATCAGTCCCACAGTCAACATGCCGAGGCCCAGAGAACCACCCTCTTATGACAAGCTGCAATGTTGCTTAAGAAGCTACAGCTTCTGAGTTGTTACCTGGGAGATATATTAGTGGAAAGTCAGAAAGATGCGTGTGAAGATTTTTGGTTTTATTTTTGAAATTGTTGATGGCATTCATGGAGGTGCTAATATCTTTTATTATTATTATTATTGTTCCATTGCTACAAACGTCTTTGCCTAGATAAAGATTTCAGCAAAAGTGTTTCTTAATTAAATATTGCCTGATGCCAGATTACCACTCAGAAGGCAGTGGTGGATTCCATTAAAGGCTGAACTTTCCTCCCAAAGCTAACAGCTGATTAATGTGTTAATTAGGAACCCTCCCCCAGTTGCCTGAGATTTCTCTTAAGCCCAGAAGAACCTGTATATTGTGCCCATGTGGGTAACCTCATGGCATACTTTGGCCTTGACTTTGACGTTTATATAAAAATAAAGGCTCAGTTGCCAACGTGAATAGCTTTCTCTCTTTCCGGGGGAAATACAAGATGGAAAGAGTTATAAGAACCACAAGTCCTGCCTTTCGGCTTTCTTATATCAAGAGCAAGTGATACATCTGCTGAGGCAGTGTCTTTGGAGCAGTTGAGCGGTGTAGGTTGCCACACATTTATTTCACAGGAAAGGAGTGAATCCATCAGGCCACTGAGCTTATAAGTACTACCCTGGCAGTCAGCCACCCAAATATAAATACTCTAATGGACTAAAGGAAATGTTCATTCTGTTGTTTAGAATTGGACCCATCCCAGGAAGGTATATTTAATCTTTTTGAGGACTGCTGTTATAGGGTTGAATGGAATACACATTTGTTTATCTCCTTTGTGATCTTTTTGTCTTCCTGGTGATACATTATGTATTTGTGATACGAAGCATTTCAGCTGTCTCGCTCAATGGCATTGCATTTGCTGATTGTTCGGTCCCCAGATTGGCATTGTTAAACAGCTTCAGCCTCTGTCCAATCTGGGACCTGTTAGTGAGGGAAGTGGAACCAAAGAGGCCAGATTCCAACAGAAACAAAGCTGGGGTGAAATTAGGGGGAAATCATTCCAGAGCTCAGTGTGTAAGGCTCTGCATTTCTTAATCTTTATCTTTTAAAATATCTGAAGGAATTTTGGTACTTCTTGGCATAATGAGGAAAAAATAATTCCTCAAAAAGTTAAAAAGTGAAATAAAATGTAAAGCTGTCAATGGAAAAAGAAGGGAAGAATACCCCACCACACCACAATTCAAAAAGCCAGAGTTTATGAGACACATGCTATGTTTTCCTTGATATGCAAATGTTATTTTATTAAAGAGAGAGGGATACAATATATATTTTCATCTAACTACCACATCTTAAGTAATCAGTTCAGGCTCTTATGATGAAATCTTTAATTACTAGAAGTGTGTCATTAGTTAGATGTAGAATGAATGATAGTACTGTGTTTTATTGCCTCACATGATATAGCCATTTGTGCCATAAATTCATTGACCTCATCTTAAATGATGAGTCCTGTAAGACAGACTTGATTCATTATTTCTTAAGTGACAGTTTTTTCCTCTAATAATTTTTTGCTTCATCAGAAAGATTGCTTTTCTGTATTTTTAGATTGGTATTCTGAATTCAAATTTAATAAGGCAAGGACACACACACAGACGCGCGCGCGCACACACACACACACACACACACACCCCTCTCTCTCTCTCCCTGCCTCTCTCTCTGTCTCTCATAGTACCCAAAACAAGATAGTCATGAACCGTCACACTGCTACTTGGACACCTTGGGATGCTGTGGGAAACCAAGCAGCTAACTGTATCCCTTTGCTTTAATGGAAAATTGGATGAAACAGGATTTTGCTTCTAACTTTGATGTCTGTAATTCTTTTTCTGTCAAAATAGATGAGATATGGTGGAAAATTCTCATTTGACAATTGGGATAGATCTATGAGCATTCCTTATTCATCAATGGATTACTGAAAGTGAAGGAAGGGAAGGAAGAACATTTAAATTATATTTAGATTATTATTATTTTTTACTCCATTTGAAAATATTTATTTGGCTTGAGGAAACAGGAATCCTTTGGAAGCAAATAATTCAATCTGGCAATTTAAAAACCAATTAAGGATTTCAGAAAACTCTTCTCCCTTATGGCTAAAAAATAAGATCCAAAAAAAATATGCCAGAACATGGGTATATTATTTTAATTAGTTTAATTCATTGATAATATTTTTTTAGTCAATGATTAAAGAAACTATTTTTGATCCTTCACTTCAAGCTTGTAAATTTACATTCAGGCTTTCTGTGGATGCCTAATATTGAAACAGAAGTAGGTGGTTTTATTTCATAGTGAAATTTAGGTGCCACATCCTTATACATTAATTTTATTTAAATGATCAGCTTTATAAAACAGTAACTTAAATGCATCATGTTTTTACTACTTGTCTACTTAACCTTTATCTAGATGAAATATTTGAGGGTCTGATGGATTCTGTGGATCTCTTCTCATCAGAGGCAATTCTGTACTTTTTTGTAAACTGGGCATCTCAATTATGATGAAAACTTCCCCTAATTCAGGAGGAACATGAAACACTATAGTGATATACAGAAGTATATTAGCATTGAGATTATTATTTTTTTTACCACTTTAATTAAAACTGCAACAGTTTTGATAGCTAAACTGAAAGAATGCCTTTCTAATCATCAAAGGTCACTCAGCAATTTTCTCACTCTCCAAAATTTTTTGCAAGAAGTAGTTTGGAAGGGCAATTTGATGAGACTAAACAAAACAAAACAGGAATGTGTGCCAATAAGTATGTTATTCAGTATCACACCATCAAGTGTATTACCTGCAAATATCAGTGGAAAAAAAAAAGTGAGAAGGATCTGCCACGTGCGTGTTCGCCCACAATCACATACCAGCATGCCACCACTGTTTACAATCAAGGAAAGCTGAGAGTTAAATGAGATGAGTAATCAAATGCCCAGCATATGTTGTTTTTGCATTGTTTATGTGACCACTCATTATTAAAATTTATCATCTTTTAATTATATCAGTTTATGATAAGTAAAAAAAAAGCAACACAAACCAACAACAGAACAACAGATACCCTCTTCAACAAAAACAGGGTCTCCTTTAGAACAATGTTGGAACCAGTGCTTTATTGGAGAAGCGACTCAAATTCAATATTCAATAGACTCACCATTGCACGGTGTCACAGTTCTTCCTTTGCTGCTACATATGGCTTGAGTGCTGAGAAAATGGCAAAAAAAAAAAAAAAAAAAAAAAGGAAAAAAAGAAAAAAGATTGTGTGTGTAAAACTCTGTCAAAAAAAGTAAGGCACTGAAGGAACTATTGAAAATTTTGACATCTGTTTATCTGTTTATAGCTATGGCAAGATTACTCATATTAATTCTTGTTTAAAATGCCATATGAAGGAAAGACATTTGTGCAAACAAGAGTCATATTTGAATTGTAGATCATGTCTTCACCATCTGTGAGAGCTGATGGTGTTGCAAAATTAATGTGTTAATGAAATCACAATAATTTCTCCAAAGTAATGGGTTCTGAAGCCGAGAATGAGTATTTTTTGAACTTTGATGTCTAGTGATTTCCAATTGGGAAAAGCTCTCAGCCTTTAATTAGTTCTACAGCCCAACTTTAAAATAAATTTGGTGATGTCTTTCTTTTGCCAGGAGTAGATTTGAAGGTGGGGGGAAAGCCATAACAACTTTTGGAAAATGTTCTCTGGTGTTTGAAAAGTTGTTAAATAAGATTGCCTGCCAAGAAATGTCACCAAAAATTCTGACTACTGAGAGAGAGTGGGCAAACAGCTCAAAAAATAATTCTAGCTTGCTGCAACATCACAGGTTGGGAATAGCTAAACCTCACACAGACTTCATGATTAATTCCAAGTTTCTCCTTGGAAGCCAGACATAATGATGTTCAGCGCTTTGTGTTATTGGTTAACACAGCACACCCTTTCCAACTGCATTATCAAACACAGTCAACAGTGTAAAGTGACTTCGCGTGAGGAGAATTGTAAGGGGTTATATTTCGAGCCCATTGAACTTTCTGGAGAACCTTTCCCTCCAAAATTCTTCAGGTGTGCATTTACAGTGAGCCTCTCTGACAAGTGAAAATGCGTGGACAGGTACACGGGACAGGTATACATATTCCCTTTTCTCAGAAGCATCTTTAAGTCATGCTTAAAGTGGACAACACAATTTCTTTAAGAAGAAAGAATAGGAGGTTATGATAATTGGTATTCTGAAGGGCTCATATTTTTAAAGCCAACCCATCATTTTACAAACATTGCAGAATTTTATCTTTTAGAAGGAAACACTTCTGCCTGATTGAAAAGTGGTGGTAAAATTTAAAAGAACCTTTACGTGAAACACAAAACGTCATCTACCCAGGTAAATTGCTTGTCTTACCTGTTATGGTTTTTTATTACTGTGTTGTAGGTATGTGACTGGTGTAAGCACATAAGACACACAAAAGAATACCTGGATTTTGGGGACGGGGAAAGAAGGCTTCAGTTCTGCAGTGCAAAATGTCTCAATCAATACAAAATGGACATTTTCTACAAAGAGACCCAGGCCAATCTTCCAGCTGGGCTGTGCAGCACATTACACCCTCCCATGGAAAATAAAGCAGAAGGCACCGGGGTGCAGCTGCTCACTCCAGACTCTTGGAATATCCCGCTAACAGATGCTCGGAGGAAGGCCCCCTCCCCTGTGGCTACAGCTGGCCAAAGCCAGGGCCCTGGCCCGTCATCGTCCACCACCGTCTCTCCATCTGAAACTGCCAACTGCTCTGTCACTAAAATCCCCACGCCAGTGCCCAAGTCCATCCCCATCAGCGAAACTCCAAATATCCCTCCTGTCTCCGTCCAGCCACCTGCTAGCATCGGGCCTCCCCTTGGCGTCCCGCCTCGCAGCCCTCCCATGGTGATGACCAACCGCGGCCCAGTGCCGCTGCCCATCTTCATGGAGCAGCAGATCATGCAGCAGATCCGCCCGCCCTTCATCCGCGGGCCTCCGCACCACGCCTCCAACCCCAACAGCCCCCTGTCCAACCCCATGCTTCCCGGCATCGGGCCCCCGCCCGGCGGCCCCAGAAACCTGGGCCCCACTTCCAGCCCCATGCACCGGCCCATGCTATCGCCCCACATCCACCCCCCGAGCACCCCCACCATGCCCGGGAACCCCCCAGGCCTGCTTCCCCCGCCGCCCCCGGGCGCCCCGCTGCCCAGTCTTCCCTTCCCGCCGGTGAGCATGATGCCAAATGGCCCGATGCCGGTGCCCCAGATGATGAATTTCGGGCTGCCGTCGCTCGCCCCGCTGGTGCCGCCCCCGACCCTGCTGGTGCCATACCCCGTAATCGTGCCCCTGCCTGTTCCCATCCCCATCCCCATCCCCATCCCTCACGTCAACGACTCCAAGCCCCCCAATGGGTTCTCCAGCAATGGGGAGAACTTCATTCCGAGCGCCCCAGGCGACTCCGCGGCGGCAGGCGGCAAGCCAGGCGGACACTCCCTGTCCCCCCGGGACTCCAAACAGGGCTCGTCCAAGTCCGCGGACTCGCCCCCCGGCTGCTCTGGCCAGGCCCTGAGCCTGCCGCCCGCGCCCGCGGAGCATGGCCGGAGCGAGGTGGTGGACCTGACGCGGCGCGCCGGCAGCCCCCCGGGACCCCCGGGCGCCGGCGGCCAGCTCGGCTTTCCAGGCGTGCTGCATGGCCCGCAGGACGGAGTCATCGACCTGACCGTGGGCCACCGGGCCCGGCTGCACAACGTGATCCACCGCGCGCTGCACGCGCACGTCAAGGCTGAGCGCGAGCCAGGCGCCGCAGAGCGCAGGACCTGCGGCGGCTGCAGGGACGGCCACTGCAGCCCGCCAGCCGCCGGCGACCCGGGCCCGGGCGCCCCGGCGGGCCCCGAGGCGGCCGCGGCCTGCAACGTCATCGTGAACGGCACGCGCGGCGCCGCCGCCGAGGGCGCCAAGAGCGCTGAGCCGCCGCCGGAGCAGTCGCCACAGCCGCCGCCGCCCGCGCCCCCCAAGAAGCTGCTGTCGCCTGAGGAGCCGGCGGTGAGCGAGCTAGAGTCGGTCAAGGAGAACAACTGTGCTTCCAACTGCCACCTGGACGGGGAGGCGGCCAAAAAGCTGATGGGCGAGGAGGCCCTGGCGGGGGGCGACAAGTCAGACCCGAACCTTAATAACCCCGCGGACGAGGACCATGCCTATGCTCTGCGGATGCTGCCCAAGACCGGCTGCGTGATCCAGCCTGTGCCAAAACCCGCGGAGAAGGCTGCCATGGCGCCGTGCATCATCTCCTCGCCCATGCTCAGCGCCGGGCCCGAGGACCTGGAGCCGCCGCTCAAAAGAAGATGCCTCCGAATTAGAAATCAGAATAAGTAAAAGGTTTGTATGTCCGTCGGGAGCTCCTCCGCACCAGCCAGTGCACCTCTCCTTACTTCTGACAAGGCAGAGGCGAGAGTTGTAATAATAGTCATGATTTTACCGTGCGTGTTTTCTATTGCATTTGGTGTGGTCACGCTCTCCACATTCTGAGCCATCAGCTCTGATGCTGAGTTGTTCAGTAGCATCATTCCCATTTTACAGCCGAGGAAACTGAGCCACAGCGTGTGAGTGCCATGCCCCAGGTCACTTACTTGAGGGGAAAGCTCAGTCTCGAACATGTCATGAAATACTGTCTCTCCAATTACACTTTTATTATCATGCTCATCTCCTTAAATTACTCTATTGGAGAAGAAGAGGATGGGTGGAGGAGGAAGAGATTAACTTGGGACACCTACATGTGCAATCATGAGGTTGTATAGTGGTGGTGAAAGGTCTAGTGAACCCATGGGCTGGGCCACCTCCTAGATAGAGCTGGTTGCCTCATTGGCAGAACGTCACCACATTTTCTTGATAAGTACGGGATTCCATTTGTAAAGTGAGGAAAAAACTTAACTCTTACATGCCTATGTCAGCTGATCCAGGCCACTAAGTCCTATTTGCCTAACAGGGTGTTTTTCCTGTTTTGGGGGTCTCCTCCTGCAGTTTGGCACCAAGCAACATCCCCTAGGGTAGGCCTCCAGCATCACTGACTAGCTTTGCTTTCTCCCCCTTTTGGTGCTCAGCGGCTCAGCTGATGAGTTGCTCACCTTTGCAGGTGATGGGAGGCTTTGATAGGGAAGAGGGTGGCATTGCTAAAGTGAGTGACACTGCACATTTCTGACCTCATAGACAGACTCCTGCTTAATGCCAAGGGAGCCACTGAGAGTGAGCTAAAACTTTCAGTGATGGGAAGGAGAACTAACGTGTGCCTGTGATAGGCAGAGGTGGCCTCATTTGCTCCTCCTGCCAATCCTGGTGGAATAGGCATAATCTGTATCTCACCAAGGAGGCAGATGAGTCTTAAAGACTATGCCCAAAGCAGAGCTGGTACATGGGAAAGCAGTATCAATTCAGGCCTGTTGGACATAGCCCAAGCTCTCTCCTCTATCCAAGTGGGCATCAAACAGGCCAAAATTCAGTTGAATTTAGCAACTTCTTATGGAGAGGAAGGAGAGAGATGAGCATTTATTGAGCACCTAACTTGTACACTGCTCCTTCCAGGGACTGGGGAGATACAAAGGCAAATATGATGGTGTGCCCCCATCTGGTGGGAGTGCAAACCCCAGGAGGAAGGAAACAGGTGGGGGGCAGGAGAATGGAGCTCATAAAATGAGTAATTGCTGGCCGGGCGCGGTGGCTCAAGCCTGTAATCCCAGCACTTTGGGAGGCCGAGGCGGGTGGATCACGAGGTCAAGTTATCGAGACCATCCTGGTCAACATAGTGAAACCCCGTCTCTACTAAAAAAATACAAAAAATTAGCTGGGCATGGTGGCGCGTGCCTGTAATCCCAGCTACTCAGGAGGCTGAGGCAGGAGAATTGCCTGAACCCAGGAGGCGGAGGTTGCGGTGAGCCATTGCACTCCAGCCTGGGTAACAAGAGCGAAACTCCATCTCAAAAAAAAAAAAAAAAATTAGTAATTGCTCACATTTGTATGTGCAGGCTGTCTTCTAACTGTTTTTCAGTAGTATTTTTTTGGATCTGGATCCATAGGACAATTATCATCTTCATTTTATTGATGAGGGAACCAAGACAGAGTAGCTTGCCCAAGATTACCAAATTAGCAGAGTTGAGATTCAAATACAGGCTGTCTGACTCCAGAGCTGCATTTTTTTTAAAACCACTGTAGGAGAATAGGCAAATTAGTTTCTTTATTACCCTACCTACTAAAATCTTTTATCCACCTCAGTTGTCATAGGGGTAAGTTTCTTAAAATGCAAACATACAAACAAAAACTGAGCGTACCTCCTAACTTCTCTAAGTCTTTAGACAGTTTAATTCTTGTTTCTGCAGCACCAACAAGCCTGCATTACCAACCCATTACTCCACAGTGGGAAATACAAGCGTGAAGCACAGCACTTGCTGTGGTGTGTCCAGTCCGTGGTCTCTAAGTTGGCATGTTTACATGGGCACCTAGCATAGCCAGGAGATTGCTAGGGAAGCACAGACCAGAGCAAGTAGACAAGTCTCCTTGCTGAAGAAGGTCTCTCAGCTACCATCATTCGAGGTTCTCTCTGATGGCTTTACCAGTAGAGGAAGAATTCTAAAAACAAGTTCCCCATTCCTTCTCGATTTTACATCTACAAGTGCTGCTGCCTGAAGACAGATGGTCTCAGCCTTGCACAGTCACCTCAATTGAAAATGCCCCTGATTTCTTTATGAGAGTAGTTTAATCTGGTTGACAAAGCTGTGAGTAATGGGAAGGTATGTGACAAGAAAGTGACGGCCTTCAGAAAGTCAGAAAGCATTGGGAATTGTCACTTAAAACACATTCTAATATCACTCATTCAGGTGAGGTTGAAAGAAGACTGGGAGAGTGAGAGATTTTACCATCACTGGAGTGAGAAGTGACCAGGTCAGGAATGGTGACACTAACCTATGAATAGCATGGGACCAAAAGAACATAAAAACAGAAAATATACAATGGCTATGTGGATGATATATGTTTCTGAATAAAGAATTAGTCTTGTATGTGGACCAGAATCATTAAAAATATTAACCTGGCTCCAGCCAATTTCAGAAGATGTGGTGATGAAATTGCCCACTACCTCTTGAGGTTGAAGAGTTCTTTCAATGATGGGTCCCCCAAGAGATTACAGCTTTTCTCTGAAGTCAGAAACACTCAGGCTTTGTCATCTACAAAAGGATGAGAAGGCAAGTGATTTAAGATGGGGGAAAAACCACCTCTCCTCCACTAAATCACATTTCCTCTTGCCCCCTGTTCCGGGTCACCTCACAGCACAGTCTCAATCTGCCATAATTTACTCACATTCTCTGGCCCTTCCCTGTTTATTATTATTTTTATTATTGTTTGAGACGGAATTTCACTCTTTTTGCGCAGACTGGAGTGCAATGGAGCAATCTCGGCTCACTGCAACTTCTGCCTCTCAGGTTCAAGCGAGTCTCCTGTCTCAGCCTCATTATTATTATTTTTTGAGACAGAATCTCACCCAAGGTGGAGTGCAGTGGTGCAATCTTGGCTCACTGCCACCTCCACCTTTGGGTTCAAGGGATTCTCCTGCCTCAGTCTCCTGAGCTGGGACTACAGGCACGAGCCACCATGCCTGGCTAATTTTTGTATTTTTAGTAGACATGGTTTTGCCATGTTGGCCAGGCTGGTCTCGAATTCCTGACCTCAGGTGATTCACCCACCTTGGCCTCCCTTAGTGCTGGGATTTCCAGGGATGAGCCACCGCACCTGGCTCCTTCCTGTTTTTTTGTGCACACATGGTGCGGTTTTTCTTTTATGGCTTCAGAAAACCAGGCCATTCATATGGTTGAGGAAATTGGAAATGTATCCACTAAATAAGGGACCGTATGGCTTCTGTGCCCTGATGCCGAACACTGGTGATGAGTTAAAACCAAAGTGGAAAGCATTACAAACCAAAAGCAAAACCCAGGCTGAGATGTGGTGGATGAGGTGCAGGTGAGTGATTTCTCCATGTGCTTGTTGGTGATTCATTATATTATTTCTTATAGAAGAATCTGTCAATAACTTCAGTCAGCATCTTCATTCTTCTCACTGTGTCTGCCTTTTTCATACTGTAGTACTATTTTAGTATTTATTTTTGAGACCAAGTCTTACTCTGTTGCTCAGGCTGGAGTGCAGTGGCATGATATCCACTCACTGCAACCTCCACCTCCTGGGTTGAAGCAATTCTCCTGCCTCAGCCTCCTGAGTAGCTGGGATTACACCATGCCCAGTTGATTTTTTATATTTTTGGTAGAGATGGGGTTTCACCATGTTGGCCAGGCTGGTCTCAAACTCCTGAGACCTCAAGTGATCTGCCTGCCTTGGCTTCCCAAAGTGCTGGATTACAGGCATGAGCCACCATGCCTGGTCTGTAGTACTGTTTTAAAAAATCATTTAAAATAGATCAAAGGCAGACCAAATTATCTAGAAATCAGCAACCCAGGCAGCTACAGTTGTCTTCAAGAAGTCATATTTGCTGGTTCTTCATAAATTACAGGTTTTCTCCCCCATTTTGAAGTTACTCTGTTCCTGGTTACCTGCCTTTATACATTCTTGTTTGTTGATATGATTACAAATTATTTGAATGGGCAGATATTTTCCCCAGATGCAGAACTAATTAAGTTTAGCTGAAGATTTTAAAAGATTGTAAATTTTCTTTAATCTTCAACTTTTAAGACTCCAAATACCAGTTCTACAGCTTCAGTAAGCTGGAAAATATATCACCCCAAATAATAAGGAAAACAATGTATAAACATTTTGCGAAGTATTCTATCCACAAAGAATTCCATTTATAAATGGAATACTCCCTTCTTTGTCTTTCTCTGGGAGCTTGGGGGATAGCTGTTTGTATTTGTACATTTTCTGAATTTCTACAGTTTGCACTTGTTTATGGTACATTGGGGAGTTTAGAGTAACCATTTGCAAATGTTTGAAGATATTCAAAAGAAAATATTCCCACTCCTCAGTTTTCCAGGGAAATGACATAGACTCTTTAAGTAAAATAATCAATGGAAAAAATATGTACAAGGAGTAACCCTTTCATCATCACTTTTTCCACTCTCAAGGACTAACCATGTAACTTTTCACCTTTGTGGCTCCCAAATTTCTAAGTTTCAAAAACCAGAAAGAAAATATGAGACGCTTTTTCCTGGTCCCAATTCCATGATACTACTCCAGGCTCAGCAGGGGGGACTTGACTTATTATTTTCTCAGGGAAAGCTGGAGTAGGCGCCTGTAGTTTGGCTTTTTGGAGTTTACTTATTAGTCTGATCATGGAGCCACAGTCCTAGAAACAACTGTTCCAAGGCAAGGAGTTTGCCTCATTGGGGAAGCCAAAAGGGTGGTCACAAGTAACTTTTTTGCCAATTTAGTTTCTTAAACTGGAAAGTTCAAGAGAGGAGGCTGTCTGGGAGAAGGTTGGGAAGTCAGTCCATACATTCAAAACAATACTTTGGGTGCCTACTTTTAAAACAAAGGAAAAAAAAAATAACAGAGTGACAAGAGGAAATCAGTATAAATGGGTTGTGCTCGGGTCCTGTGTCAGACTTGCGCTATCTAATGGTCCAGTACTTGACTATTGGGAATTTAATTGGTGATGGTCCCTAAGTTAAAAGTTAGCTTGTTTGTTAGGATGCAGTTGGCACATATAGTTCTAGTACACATATAGGTACTTGAAAGAGCCAGAAAGGAAACACCAGGTTTGTGTAATGGACACATGTGAATGAGGAGGACCTGGGAATGTGCTTCATGTGATTATTTTAGACTTGCAGAGGAGAGTTTTCTGGATTGAATTGTGTCAAGATTGGCCTTAGACATGTCCCATTCAGTGCTGCTGGGACCACGTTAACCCTTATGACCAGGGACTCAGAGGAAAGGTTTTAATGTGCAAGCATCCAGCTTTTACATATGATGTCAATCGGATATGATGGAATATGAAATGACATCTGTGACTGGGTATTTATTACTTTCAGATGTACCCGTAACCTTCCATCTTCAGCAGGACTAGAGTGAAGCAAAGGAAATGCTTAGGGCAGAGACTCTGAAGAAGCACCCACTCAGGGTCATGCTAGTGCAGCACTGGTCCTGGCTATGGTCTCCAGAGCCATTTGGCAGCTCCCTAAAGCTGGTCTCCTGGCCCCCTGGACTCGTCATGGATGGCCCTCAGCAACTTCCCATGAAATTTCATGGAAAGTTTTATGTGCCTATGCACAGAGACATTTTCATGAGAGAAGAGGTCCATAGATTTTGGCTCCAGAAAAAGTATGCTCTGTATCTCTGAAGGATTCTCTTACCTTACTGTAAACCAATATGTGAGTTGAAATGTTTCTTGTTTCTCTGAGGAAGTTGAATTAATTGAAAGTTTCCCTTAAAACTTAGAATATACCGTTTGGCAATTTCTGCTGTGGACCTAATGTTGCAGACTCAAAGTTGGAGCTACATAATGTAGCACTTGCCTCAATAAGATTGTCTTAGTGACACTATGCAAGAGGTAATAGACTTCTTCAAGTTACCATTTCCCACAAGGGCCTATGATGAAAGAAGAGAAGCAAGAAAGAAACAAGCTAGATACATCCCCAGCACTTGAACTTTCAAATTTATAAAGTATAGGGAGACACTGTCCTTCTGTGGAAAGACCTTCTGCCCTGCTACTGAGGCCAAGAAAGCAGAATGGCCAGAGTCAGAGAGGTGGACAGGTCAGTGAACACCAGAGTATTGATGTGGCGGTGTCTGGGAGCGCTGCCCATGCTCCCCAGCTCCCCAGATCCCTTGTACACCTCTTCACCTGAAGAGACCGCACTTGGAAAGAGAGATGTGTTCTGCCAGCTATTAACCAGCCGTTGCCCAGGAGGGCACTGGAAATCAGCTCCCTGACTGGTTTCCAATGAATCACTCCCTCGCCAGCCTTAGCTGTTGCCTGTGCACCATGTTCAATCATTTACACCTACCTTCATGCAGACAAGTGCTGCAGAGGGGCAGAGATGTCTGAGGACCAAAATACACCTCACCGCGGAACACTTACCTCATGTTGTGGAACATACCCCCACCCGAACGCCCTGCCTTTTCCAGACCTTCCTGTCTAGGAGATCCTGCCAAAAGGATGGGGGTGGCCATTCTGTTTTCTTTCACCATGTCCTGCACAACTTATTTTGTATCCTTCAGCTGCTATTTTAAGTGCATAGCACTTTCTATGTGGATGGATGTTAAGGCAATGCATTCTGCATGTTGTAAACTTTTTCTTAGTGCCTCAAAGGCATAAAAGAAATTCATTCGGAGAAAGAAAGAAATTAGCTTTAGAAAAGAAACAATTTAGCACTAGCATCGTTTAACAGGGACCCATTCTCAAGGAAATGGGGTAAATGCCATTTCAGACACCAGCTCCAAATTCTAACTGCAGAGAGCTCTTCTCCAGATTTGTGGATTTCCACAGCATTCTGCTGGAGAAAAAATAAGTAGGGCGGGGTCAGGCTTAGGAACATGAGACGATCAACAAGGAAGGGAAGAACACACACAGGCACACAACTTATTTCAAGGGTCATCAAAAAGATTCAAGTGAAAATGACTGGAGCAAAAGCAAATGGCAATAACAACAAAAACTTGGAATTAGTCTCTAATGCTTTAAAATAGTCCCGAGTGTACTACATAGTTTTAAATTGGAAATCAGTCAAGTTACCTAACTCTGCCACTCCTAGGACTGAATTATGATCATGAGCAAAAAATGCTTGTGTAATTGTGCCATGCTGCCCAGATGTACAGCCCTGAGTAGGGAGATGGGGGCAGAGCAGACTCGGCTTTCCAGGTAGCCGAGGGGTCAGAGCTGGGGCAAATCAAAGCTTCCAGTGCTCACAGCCTCGTTCCCATCCAGATATTTGGCTGCACCAGCACTAGTTATCTCATTATTTTCCCCTCTGAACCTCTGATTTGTTGTCTGTCTTTGATGTAGTAAGCTGTGTTTTGTTTTGGGTAAAAGGGGAAGAATGCGATTGGTAATATTTAAAGAACAAAAGGGAGAAATGCTTTATGGATTCATTTGTTATGAAACATTGACCTAACATCCAAAAAAATACAACTAAAAAGTAGATCTTTCCCTCATTTGCATGGCTTATTTCCCCAGACATGTTTTTGGTATTGAAAATGAATGGTATTCCCATACAACATGTGTCTCAATTTGTAATGATATCCTCCTTGCAGCTGGCTTAGTTCTGCAAGTGTTTCTAAAATGTTACTGTCTTAAATTTGAACCAACCTATAATAACAAATTATCTAGAAGTGAAGTGGCTAAACTGCATTTGGTGAGAGAAGGGGAAACCCTATATTTCATCCTTCAACTCTTGTTTTAGAAATTCAGACTGTAATGTGATCTTTTTCTAAAGAAATCTATACAGGCACACTTTAAAAATTGGGCAGATTGGGTGTTGTGGGAGCAAGAATGATCAGGTTTAAGTTTCTCTGCAAAGCTCTGCATCCCATCAACAAGCCCTTTTGATATTTTAAACCCATATTTAGAGTAATTTCAAGATATTTGGAGCACATGTGGTTAAATGTAAAACTTTGTCATTATAATGTGTTAGATGCTTATACTTTAAATATTTATAAGCCATTTTTAAGTACTTTGCCCAAAAGCCTTCTCCCACTAGAATGCTGTAATTGAGTGGTATCTGAGCATCATTATAGAAGATACAAGATGAAGTCACTGCAGCATGCATTCACATTCTTCTTGCTTTTCTGGTTTTAATTCAAATGTCATTTTTAGCAGAATCAGCTTATTTTATTATTTTAAAAATGTATTAAAAAGTCATAAACAAGATTGGTTGTCTGTAATTTAAAACAAAGAAATTCCCCAGCACTCAAAAGTTAAAGAGTTCTAACTTGAACTGTGCTGAGTCCCACACATGAGCACTGTGGCTCACTCCTATAATCCCAGCACTATGGGAGGCCAAGGCGGGTGGATCTACCTGAGGTCAGGAGTTCGAGACCAGCCTGGCCAACATGGTAAAACTCTGTCTCTACTAAGAATACAAAAAATTAGCTGGGCGTGGTGGCGTGTGCCTGTAGTCCCAACTACTCAGGAGGCTGAGGTATGAGAATAGCATTTACCGGGGAGGCAGAGGCTGCAATGGGCCAAATTCACACTACTGCACTCCAGCCTGGGTGACACAGTGGGACTCTGTCTCAAAAAAAAAAGAAAGAAAGAAACTTCCCATTAGAGTGTTGGATCTCAGTGTGAACTTAAAGTGTCATACTATTCCTCTGAAATGTCGTAGGGACAATTTATTGGTGGTTGGATTGAAATCTTTACTACTTGCCTTCAGCCATATTGGAAGCTAAGACATAGGATTCTGTCTTTATCATAGGTAGCCTGTTGGTGCACTTAATATGAAAAAGAGGAGGGGGAAACCCTTTTCCAAATGCAGAATCCATTTAAGCTTTGGAGGTTATAAATTTCAAACTGATCACAGGCCCCTGGGGCTCACACTCTTTTATGGCTGGCAAAATACAACTTTCTGGTAAGAACGGGGGAAAGAAGGCTTTAAAAGCTCATAAACTTGCATGGACATCTAATAGCTGTTAGCAAACAGTGTTCTCATGAGTTAAGTATAAATGAGTCAGAAACATATAGATCAAATTTCTTTTAAAATACACATGGGTTTAAAAATTAAGGCCAAAGTGCTTGGCAAAGTAAGTTTTGGTTTAATCCAAACCCAAATGTTGAAAAAATAGTTCTAAGATTTGCCAAACCAAAAATACATGCAGGTCTCTTCAATCCTCCCATTTAATACGATGGCATCATAAACATGGGACTTAGTGGCTATTTTCATGATCCCCAAGGTTTAGGCAACAGGAACCTTAAATATTGATTGAAAGACTGAAAAATGTGTGATGGAAAGACATTACAACCTTGCAAATGAAGATGAGGGCCATGGGTTCAGGGTTCTAGTCCCGATTTTGACAGCAATTCTCACTGTCTGATCAGGTGATCAAGTTGTCCTTTGTCTGTGTGTGTGTGTGTCGGGGGGGGGCCCATGCATAGCAATAATAACTTTTAAAATACTATTTTTTGATTTTATAAATCCTAAATTTATACTTAATTCATATATTACAATCTGTGGAACTTAATAACTCCTCATCATAAACAAACAGAAGCAGTCCCCTTTTGCTCATTCATGGTTCAGATATAATCTTCATTTATTTCCCTAGACGATAAAACATATCCATTTTGCACTAACAATACCCAATGCTGACTTTGCTCAGGTCTGTGTTATTAAAAGACAAAGAGAAAGAGAGAGGGAAAGAGAGAAAAGAAAAAAGTGGGGAAAGGTGTGTGGCAGGAGTCCTTGATTTGAAGAACTAATACTGAGAGACAAAAAAAAAAAAGAAAAGCTAGCCAAGGTCACTTTTAGAAGCATCACGCAGACTCTGCACTCTGATGTGATGCTGCAGACAGTAGGCTTCAGCAAGGGCAGGGATCAGGTCCAGGGTCCAGTTCACTCATTGTAACCAAGTGCCTAGCACAGGGGCTGGCAGAATGAGCACACAAGTATTTGGTGATCAAACGAATGAAAGAGTCTCTGTAGAGGAACAGCTAATGAAGTTGCCTTGATAGACCGCCTTAAGGTAGATGAATTCTAAACCTGAGGAGGGATGTGGGCTGGAGATTGGGGTGGAGGAATGAGGGATGAAGTAACATGTTAAATGGCATGGATACAGACCAGGTCGAGCTGTATTAGAGATGACCTGGTTCACTTGCTGGAACAAAGGGCTTGACCTCAGAGGGTGAGAAGCCTGAGTCTGGAGGAGAGTGGGAAGGTAGTAGAACAGGAGGTTGGCGAATTTGTACTCAGTACTATTGGGCAATGTCATTGTGGCCTCAAGCAGAAGAATGACAAGATGAAGTCTATGTTTGAGGAAAATTACTTGAGCAGCTGTTCATAGACTGAAAGACTGGCATTGCTAAAGCTGATGGTTGCTTTCTGATGGCAGGCTAATTGCCAGCAGTTGATTCTAAACAACTGCATGGCAGGGCCATGCGCTGCCGCATCTATGGGTTAAGTATGGAAAGCCATTGTCTCTGGATAGTGAGAAGAACTTTCTTTGTGCTGAGTGGGCCTAAGGAAAAGTCACAGCGCATGGTGGAAGGAAATCTCACAAGCAACAGACCATTCCAGAGTCTAAAGAAGGACGATGCTGGCTGGTCTCCAGATGGCCAAGGAAACAGAGGCCCCACCCTTCTGAGCAACTAGCAGCTCTGAGCTTCAAGCCAACAGGGAAGGGCAGTTGTGGGCTGCTGTCTTATGTGTGCACAGAGGCGGACCCTGGCTCTTGGAGCAGCAGACTTCACGGATGCAGAACGTGGAGATTGCACAGCGACGCCTAGATTGTCTGTCCTTGGACTGAAGGGCAGCAGAAAGGCCCAGGAGGCATGCTCTGTATTCCTTGAGACACCTCTGGAGATTTTCTCGGAATCAGAATCAGATCCTCCCAGGGCCTGTGGCTACTTTTTAAAAGGTTTGGCAACCTTTTGGAGACGTCCTCTTCTGGTTTTTTACTTTCCAGGCTGTAAACCTTCAGAAGCTTCCACATGTGGTACCAGTGGGCTCCTGGTGCTGAAGGAAGGTAGCAATGTGGCTTAGTGGAAAAGAACATCTGCTCTGGAGTTGGGCCAGCTTGGGTTCATATCCCAGCATAAACACTTACCGGGTGAGGGAGACAGGGACTTTACCTTTCTGAGCCTCACTCTCTATGTCCTGAGTAATACAATTGCTGTAAGAGACAGGTAAGGAAATGTGTAAAGTGTGGCTCATCACAGGTGCCCTAAAATGGCAGTTGCCACCCTGTTAGAAAGGCTGCATTGCCTGGGGAAAGAGCCCGGGGATGGAGTGAGACCTATCTGGATTTGAAAACTGGCTGTGTCACTTACCAGCTGTGAGGATTTGGACAAGTTTTATAAACTCTCTGGGCCTGCATTTTCTCATTAAATAATTATAATAGCTAATATCTATTGAGCACTTTCTACATGTAGGCAGTGTTCCGAATGCTACATACCGACAATGCATGAGACTTAGCATTATTAAGCCCATTTTGCAGATGAAGAGACTGAGGCACAGAGAGGTTAAGTATCCCACCCAGAGTCATGTGGCCAGTAAATGGCAGTGCTGAGATACGACTGGCAGCCTGCATCCAGAGTTTCCATGCAAAACCACTGTGCATGGCTTATGTATAACAAATGAAGATAAGTACCCCTACTTCGTACAGTTATCGGCTCCAATGTAAATAACAAGTTAAAATGGCCGGGAGCTACCTGGCTCATAGCAAATGCTTATTACAAAAATTGTCATGGTAACCCCTGCAGCCCAGAACTTCGTCCCTTGGATGTGTAATGGAAAATAATGAAGCACTTCCACATTGTCAACCTCGGAGGTTAGGGAAACCATTCCAGAAATTCTCGTAAGATCTCTGGTTCCACTTTTACAAGCCGAGACTGCAAGAAAAGGAGTGAGTGTCCAAGGTCACAGTGTGGTGCATCCCGGATTAGAACCTGAGTCCTCATCTGCCTTTCCTCTCTATGGGACATGGGATCCAACAGCAGCTGCTTCAGTTACATGCCCTATGCCAAGCACCAGAGTCATATTTTTGCCACCCACTGCATGGCTTCCTCACATCAGGAAGCCAACTCCAGAGAGAAAATAGGTTGTGCCTGAACATCTAGGGTTGAGGGTTAATGGGTTGCAGAAAAGCAATTATTAACCACACTCTCCATCTTTTTTGCTGTTGGTGAAGAAATCAGTATTCTTGCTCCTGTTTTGCAATGGCATTTCCACTGATATGAAGCTTTCTCCCTACTGCTCTCTGCTAATGGATTGGTCGTAAAGAATGAATCAAATATGGAGAAGACTGCTTTCCCAGACCGCATCTAAATCCTAAAATCTGCTGTTGATCCACAGGTCAAAGCTACTTGCCACATGAAGCTGCTTTTTTCTCTGTATTCTTTCTCTTTCACCTCGAATGCCTTTGTTTCTATAACATAGAGAAGTAACACACTTCATCTTAACACAGTAAACATCTGGGTTTTTCTGTCCAAGACAGAATTTTTGGAAAGCTGCAGTCTTGAGAGTCAGAGTGGTAAAAATCAGAAAAGGACATGGGCCCCAGCCTTTCCACTGACCCCTTGAAGGAGTCTCTGAATTCATCTGGGACTTAGCATCTCCCACTTTAACAGGGACACGTGACACCGGCTCCTGTAGTCACAGAGTGGGGAGAGGGGAGCAGAGCTGTGGGCCGGAGGCCCATGAACTGACATCAGCTAGTTCATGTGTTGGATAAGACTTGATGAAAATGCATTTTTTTTTTCTTTCTTTCTTTTTTTTTTTTTTTTTTTTTGAGATAGAGTTTTGCTGTTGTTACCCAGACTGGAGTGCAATGGCACAATCTCGGCTCACCGCAACCTCCGCCTTCTGGGTTCAAGCAATTCTCCTGCCTCAGCCTCCCGAGTAGCTGGGACTACAGGTGCATACCACCATGCCCAGCTAATTTTTGTATTTTTAGTAGAGACAGAGTTTCACATGTTGACCAGGATGGTTTCGATCTCTTGACCTAGTGATCCACCCGCCTCGGCCTCCCAAAGTGCTGGGATTATAGGCATGAGCCACCGCTCCCGGCCGCATTATTTTCTTTATCGAATCACTTCTCAGAGTTCTTATTTGCAAAGGCAGGGTGTTAGACCATGTATGTCTTTAAGGCACCATACAGCTCTGACATTGTGAGCCCCCCACACCCTCTTGTCCGGGCAAAGAAAGGGGGAGATGGA